GACCAGCGGGAGATCGCTGAGACGAGAGAAACGTGTAGGTCAGTATCGGGGGGTGTGTGTGGGGGGGGGTAATAGTAACACAAGCCTTTGAAATAGGGTAAGGCTGCGCTCCAAAGGGTAGAATCTTACCGTTTAGTTAAAAACATACAATTCGGTAAAAGAAAATGCTTTAATTACTTACATCTGAGCTCTGAATAAGGTGAGTCGGGTTTAGTTGTTCACTTCCAGTAGCAGTTTGGAAATCAAGGCTAACTTTTGCTTTCTGTGTTAAAAAGCTGCTGTGGAGCAAAATTGAGGTGTGACTTTAGAGTATGCGAGCTGCATTGTCCTAAAGCCTTTATACTTTTGCTCAGAGCGGTTACAGGGCAGTTTACTTCAAAAGCTCTTATGGAACAACAGACATGTCTAGGACAGAATAACTAATGCTTATTAATTCTCATGTGTAACAGTAATGCTCTTCTGTGAGCAGGCTTAATTTTGTAGATGTACTGCTTTGGTTAAAATAAATGTACCTTTTAGAACAGTAAAATGAGGAAGTGAGATACCTGTTTTCAGGAATCTTGTCCTTAAGAAGTTGTGGTGATCTCAAGCGTACTGAGAGAGGAACAACTTAGAATCATAAAATCGTTGTGGTTGGAAGAGACCTCAAAGATCATCAAGTCCAACCGTATATGCAACGCCACCATGCCCACTAAACCCATTAAACCATGCCTCAAAGTTGCCCACTAAATCCACTAAACCATGTCTCAAAGAACTTCTCATATACAAAGCTTCAAAATAATTTCAAACTTGTAACAGAAACATGTAACCAAAGCAGATTATCAGAGATTTCTGAAGTGTTCTTTCTGGCTAAAGAAACTGTTTTGTATGAGGATTTTCTTTGCGTATTTATAGGGCTGCTTATGATACTTCTGCACCGAATGCAAAACGCAAATACCCAGATGAGGGAGAAGCTGATGAGGAAGAGATTGAAGAATATAAGGTAAGGGCAAAAGGAAGAAGTTACTTTTCTCTGGTGTTCGTGTATCTCTGAGGGTCTTATAAAATATGTGTGTGTATAAATAAAAATAAAAGCATTATGTATAGATACTTTAAAATATATGTCCCTCGATGGCATCTCCCTTGATGTCTTCCACTGCAGAGATCTAAGAGAGGGGGCATAGATGCTAAGTGGTTCTCTTCAGATATGGCTTAGGTGCGTTGAACTCTACACGCACCGGAACCCAATGTTTGGAGGCTTAATTTGGTGCTTCTCCTAGGAGGAGGTAGGCTTAGGTGATAGTACCCGCAGGGAATGGCAGTGTGCCATGGCTGGCTGGCTGTCTTGTGCGGGAAGAAGTGGTAAAATGTGTGTGCGCTTGGGTACACGCACACGCACAAAAAGATCTTGACCAGAATTTCTTTGTGTCGGAAGAAAAGCTTGCCTTTAGCAAGAGGCAGAGGCCATTGGATGAGATATGGGGAGGCTGAGGTGGTCAAAAAATTGTTTTTTTTTGTAGAATAAGTGTAAATTTATAGTGATGGTTCTTAATAAGCATTGGGCTGATGTGAAAATACAGGGCAGCAAGGCTGCAGCTTGACTTCTGTCTTGGAGCGTGACTCTGCACTGCAGATCATAGAGGTGGGAGATATGGGGAAGAGATGCATTATTGGCAAAAAAGAATAATGGATGTTTTAAAGTCAAAAAGTTGAATTGCGGTTCTAAAGAACTTCTACAATACTCTTGTTTTCGTGGAACTGTAAGAGTGGTACTAGGGTTAGTTGAGCTCCCTAGTCCGTATTTGGAATTGACAGAATGGGACTGGACTACCTGCTGCTGCTGCTCCCAGGCTTTTCATAGCCTTCTGAGAGTTGTCATTGCTCCACCTCTCCCCTTCCCCATGTGAATTTACTCAATTGTTTGAACCTGTATAAATGTCTGGTATCAACAGTGTTTTGTGGCAAAGAGTGTTGAAGTTTTAACTTTGTATGAAGTACAAAAATACCTGTGGTTCAAATTTGCTGTCTGCCAGCCTGATTTGACGCAGCTGTTTTACTTTGTTTCTGCAAGCAGTGACCTGTGAACCTGGGATGCTTCTATGCCATTGTTCTGGAGGCTGAAAAAATCTGACTTGGTTGAATCATGATAATTGCTTAATGTAGCTTGAATATTGTGGGTAGTTTTTGTTTCCCCTAACTCTGCAACAATATACCAGATTTGGAAAACAGGGATGATTAATGTACAAGAACCTAGTATCTTGTACTAGTGTTAATTTCATTCGGTCTCTGCTTTGTGTCCTTTACCCTTTGAAAGTTGGTGGTGTGGGCTTTTTGTTTGTGGCCACAAGACTTTTTTTAATCACTTATGAAGGCATAAAGAGAACTGGGATGACTCAGAAGTAGGTATCTAACAAGTGCTTATCGTCAGAAGACTAACATTTAGAAGAAGATTGAAGAGAGGAAACAGATGTAAGCTTATGATGGCATAAGCAATTTTTAGTAAAACTCAAGCTTTCAGCTTTTTTTGCCTGAATACCACCTGCTGCTGCTTGTCTGCTGTTCATTCCTTTTCCTTGTAAACACTGTTGTTGTTTCTGATAGTAATCTTTCTCTTTTTGGTCTGGTTAAACAAACAAAAAAAAGACTATATCTCAGTTCTTCACCTGTCTAATGGGGAGGGGGAATCTGTGACCTATTCATCACAGCAGGCATTTCAGAAGTTGGTTCAAAGCTCCAAATGGGAAAGAAACAGAGCTTATTTTAAGATTTCAACAGCTGGAGGGGTCAAAATAGGGAGAACGCTTGATTTTTCATTCTGCCTTCAGACAGCTTATGTAGCATAGGGTAAATGCAGCAGTAATAACAGCCTCTACTCTGCACCTTTTGACTTAAGGTGTATATTGGAGGGGGAGAAGTTGAGTTCTTTTCTATGAGAAATCTGATTCTCCATCTTTCCTTTTATTTCTATGTGTTAAAATGTCTTTTTTCATATTTCCGCCTTGAGACTGCTTTTCTCCTCACATGAATCACTATATTAACTGGTTAAGATTTCTGTTGTAATCAGTAATGTATGAAAGAGCACATGCATCCTATTAAAATATGGTAGATGATATTATTTAGTGGTTCTTCAGTTTTATTTGTATATAATATATATACTGGGTTGTTCCAGGATCAGTGGGAAAACAGAAAGTCACATGAAGAAGTGACTCTCTTGTTTCTGTTCTCGCAGTTCTATGTTGGATGTTCAGAGTAAGTCAGTGTGACAGATCTCTGAAGTCCAGAAATCTGATGAACGAACAGTTGGTGACATAGTAACTGGGGAAGAGAGCTGCAATACAGTTCCTATTTCCTGCAAATTTTGAGACTACAAAATGGGAAATTTTAGTTACTTTTAAGGACAGTCCAAATGAAGTACTGGCTTGTACTGTGTGCTGGTTCTGCAAAGTGTGGACTTTAACAGATTTACATAGAGGAGATGGTTTCAGCTGCTAAGGTTGGAACATAAGAGATAATTGAGTAGATACAAATTTTTGAAGGTTCTACTACAGAAGAACCTCAGCAAAATACCTCATTTGCTTTAGTCCAAGGAGTGAAATTTTGGGGGGACAAAAATTAAAACTTCTACATCTTGTAAATCACTGTCTACACTGTCAAGGTCTAGAAATGAAGGGTTTCTTACTTTATTCTTTCAGAGCCTTTCCCAGTAACACTGTCCTCATTAATGAGAGGCAGACCTTTTTGGGAATAGGTAATTTTTTTTTTCCTTTCCAAAACTGAAGTTGGAACCATTCATGATCTACTGTTTTAGGAGACTTCTGTTTGTAGACAGCCTGCTTCTGTCCTTAAGAAGCAGAATCATAATGAGGAGAGAAACAGCATGATCTTGCATGCTTGTAATCATAGAATCATTATGGTTGGAAGAGACCTCAAAGATCATCAAGTCCAACCGTACACCCGATGCCACCATGCCCGCTAAACCCACTAAACCATGTCTCGAAGCACCACATCTAAACGTTTTTTGAACACCTCCAGGGATGGTGACTCCACCACCTCCCTGGGGAGCCCGTTCCAATGCCTAACGACTCTAACAGTGAAGAAGTTCTTTCTAATGTCCAGCCTGAATCTTCCCTGGTGCAACTTGAGACCGTTTCCTCTTGTCCTATCGCTAGTTACTGGGGAGAAGAGACCAACCCCCGCCTCGTTACAACCTCCTTTCAGGTAGTTGTAGAGGGCAAATATCTGCTTTATTTCCAAGGATGAAGTAGAGCTGCAGCAAGACGAAGAGAACCTGCCCTATGAAGAAGAGATTTACAAAGATTCCAGTACTTTTCTTAAGGTGAGCTGCTCTTGCAATTAGAAGTCAAGTTAAAGCTGGCATAGTTGTGTTGAACTATTTCTGCAGTTGATGGTATTTAAAATACAGCTTTAAAGGCTAAAGAAATTGACTGGAATTCACAGGTATGGGAGTTTACTGTGGAAGATATGACTGTAACTAGTGTTTACATTGATCTGACTAAAGATCTGGATCAACTTACAATGAGCTGTAGTAATGGTGGGCCTGATTTGGAACTAAAACCACAATGACAGTCTTGACTAGCATAGCTTATAAAGGCATGTTGAAAAGAGGAAAAAAAAAAATCATTACTTTCCCATTTATCAGACTAACATGTGGGAGGGGGGTGTGTGTGTCTCCCCAGTTATCTCCTCCTTGCTCTCACTGAACTCCCTTTTGTTCTCCAGGGTACTCAGAGCTTAAATCCACACAACGATTACTGCCAACACTTTGTGGATACAGGACACAGACCCCAGAACTTCATCAGAGATGTTGGTATGTCATAGTCAGTAACTGTTTGCGGATAACTCATTTTATTCAATAGCACTTCTTTTTCTTCCCCTTCTTAGTTCCTTACAGTTACTGGGAAATGTAAGTACACATATACTTCATAGTTTTGCCTCTTTGTGTGCACACGTATCAATATTTAAATTTATATAGGTTATTTTTAATCAGTTAGAAGGTGATTATTACCAAGGCTCTTCTTACTCGTGGTTTTATTTGAAAGTATTTAACCAGGAAGATTTTTTCAAAGCCAAGCTCTTTTAGTTCCAGAAAGTAGATGAGTCCAGTGAGCAGATCTTGAAACCTTTGGAAGTTGAATAACTGACAGTTCAGCTAATTCCTGGACTGTATTGCCTCCAAGAATGCATGTAGCATGTAAAGTACGGAAAATACATTATTTAAGTCCATAAGCAATATGGATAATATTTACCGGCTAAATTATGTACCTGCTGACAGCTCATTAGAAGGCCTAACATATTATTGAGTTTAGAGGGTGTTATTTTTTTAAGTTTATATTCATCCAGCCATCACTGAACTTGTTACTGAATCTTTCTCTATTAGGCGTGAATTTAATCTTTCTAAAACTAATGTGTGGTTTGGTCCTGTTTCCCAGAATGGGTGCCTGGTAGTTATTTGTTTTTTTAAAAAAGCAGGACATCTGCCTCTGCAGTTTTCTGCAACAGTTCTCTGTATTTTGTCAAGTTTAAGATTGTCAGGGCAAGTGTGTATTGTTTATAGATGCCAACCCAAAGAGGTTTTGTTTGCCTGTTGAGGCAGTTAGTTTGTTTCTTCTCTGTATTTTGTGAATGCTTCTGTGAAACACATCTGAATGTTTAGTATGAAAACCAGGCTGTTTTGACTCGGTTATGTCTTTCTCTGAAAAGCATCTGGGCTTCACGGTGATGTACTTGAGATAGTTACACACTCTTCCTTAAAATAAGATGGGTACGAAGAAATAGCAGCCCATGTTATTTACTCTGACTTCTGTGCTGCATAAACAGCTGGCAAGGGCCTGGACAAATTGTTCTATGAGTGTTAATATGGAAGTGAAAGTGTCAGAAGCAGTTAGTGTAGACCCTTTATTAGAGATGAGGTATGTCAAGTTGCATGTTGATTAGCGTACGTTCTCTACATGAGGATCAAAACTCTGCTTAGGTGCTACTGTGTAATTGGACGTGGCCCTACAAAAAGCTGTAGGGAAGTAGCGGTTCCAGAACACCCAGTTACATGTTTTTCATGTTGCTTTTAGTAGAGAGGCAGAGACCTGTGGGGTTTGTTTGTCCTACTGTCCCTACTTGCTTTTTTGAAGGGGGAGTGTAATATACTGAAAAGTTTACTTGTTCTTTTTCTTTTTTTAAAAGTTTGCTGCAGAAAACCTCGTTAGGGTTTTGCACTCTGTACGTATGAAAGGTTTGAAAATTAACATCATAAAACTAAGTCTGGGAACCCAATAAATAAATAAACATGTATTCAGATCTTCATGACTGACACCAGAGTACCAAATCGCAATGTAACGGTTGCCGAAGGGAACCGGCCACACCCCAGTGGCCCCCTTAGGAACAGCCTTCAACCGTTAAATAACAGTAATCTGTAAATGGATGTTAGAGCTTAATAGAAATTTATGGAGGGGGGGGGGGGGGGTTAAAACTTTCTCTCACCATTCTCGCATTTTTAGTTTAGATGAAAGATTGTTTCCTTCTGATAAAAGGAGTTGTGAACTGATCACTGTAGTGCTCTAGAGAAGATTAGAGCATAGACATTACATTCAGTAACAGCTGTCGTTAACTGGGTGAAGGCAGGAGGCTTTTGTGAAGTACTGAACAAACAACTGCTTTGAAGGGTTTGATTTTTTTTCTAACAAAAACCAAAATGAGGCTAAGTATTAACATTTGGACCTATTCGGAATACTGGACAATGCTTAACTGATACAGTTTTACTCTAAGTAGTTGTTAACTTCATGTTTTCTTCTTCTTAGGCTTAGCAGATAGGTTTGAAGAATATCCAAAACTTAGAGAGCTCATCAGATTGAAGGATGAGCTGATATCTAAATCTAACACTCCTCCCATGTAAGTGTTTTTGTGGAAAATGCCTTTCTTCTCCAGACCTGTTTGAAGTTAGCTGTCTGCTTTGCAAATCTCTATCTTTAGCACCTGCTCAGAATTTACATTTTCTATTTCTGCTTGTATATACAAATTAATCAATTTAAACTTCAGAAGAATAAAATCAGTTTGTTTTTGTTAGTTTAATCTAGATGTTTAATATAGTATATAAACTAGATTTTCTTTCCTGTGTGTGATTATTTATAGTATCTAAAGCTTTGGTTTTTAAGACTGAACTGTCAAGTGCTTGGGCTGCAGGCTTTAATTTGGGATCTAAAAGAACATCATATGATTGTGAATCTCATGATATCATGCAGTTTACAATAACAAAAAAAAAGCTTTAAAAAATTGGCCTCTTAATATAATTTTGCTGTTCTAGCAGCTTTTTTGGTATAATATTCAGCTAATATCTTAGTATCCATTAATCAGATGTTACTTTGTAGTTGAAGACCAAAAAAAGTTTAGGCTGGCTGGAAGTGGTTTGTCCTACTAACTTCGAATTACCTCTGAGTTTCTGCTGACGTTAGACTTAGTATAAGCATGCAGCATGTTACTCCCAGGAGTCTGAACCTAATGCATTTAATATACTGTAGCCCTAATCTGTACTGAGTAAAATAGCATTCTTTCATGATAGTTACGTGAAAAACACTGAAATAGTTGTCTGAACAGCTGAGATACAAACTGCAAAACTCAACTTGTTCTTTTGAAGTTAGATGCGTTTTGGCGTTCTTAGCCTTAAAGCACAAAAGGGGAAAAAATAGGAATCAAATGCTGCCTTCTGATAACACCAAATATGCTTATGGAATAATAATCTCTTCCAGACCCTTTCTTAGGAAGGGGGAGGCGGTGGTCTGCCTATCAGCTTTTTTAAGGTTAAAGGTATTGAGGGGAGGGTGTAATTTTTTTGATAGTGATACAGCAGTGAGTGGTGGGCAAGTGTGGAGGCCAGTTGTAAGAGTGCATTTGAGCCTGTATTTAATAAGATCAATGTGTGTGGGAATTATGCTTTTGTTATAGCGATAGGGAAGTACATTTCTACTGTGTGAAAAGTAACCACATTTCCAGGATTCAGAATCTTCTGAACATAACATATAATAAATGGCAATTCTAAAAATACGCCACTTTCCCAAAGCGAAGCAAAATAGAAGCCAGGCAGTGAGTGTTTGCTTCTTAAATGTTGATGCTTTCTCCTACATAGTCTACGGATATACAGAAAGTTCAGTGATTCTGTACTAGCTATTGTTATACAGTCTGTGTGGGCATTTGTTTCCTGCTTGCTAAATTAGAATCCTCAAAACTTTGAGAAAGAGAGAGACTACTTTTAAAAAAATCTAATGGAGCAACATCCAGCCTAGGTTAAGTGAGAATGGGTTATGCATCTGCTCTGGATTTAATGCATTTGAGCTATATGAACTACACAGGAGACACTACTCTTAACTAGCTACACAGAAGAGCTATGTGGAGTATAATTTTCAAACCACTGTTATAACTTGTCCAAGCAATCTGTCATCTTTTGTTTAAACAGGTACTTACAAGCAGACTTGGAAGCTTTTGATATTAGGGAACTGAAGTCCAAATTTGATGTGATTCTCCTGGAACCACCACTGGAAGAGTACTACCGAGAGACTGGCATTACTGCCAATGAAAAATGCTGGACCTGGGATGATGTGAGTATTTTTCTTGCTGTGAAAAGGATTTCATACATGTATTTAAGCAAATAGTTTGAGGATTTAATTTGGTAGCAAACCAGGACAAACATATTGAGAGATCTGTTTTAAATAAAAATGGGATATGGTGGTTTTTTTTTTCTTAAAGAACAGTCTGGATTCTTAGAAAAACTAAGTTTTAAATTGTATGCATCCCTACATTATTCGTGGGTTTTTTTGAGGAGTTTAATGAATTAAATATACCTTTTTGTTCTCCCTGAGCCTGGTTGAAAACTTAAATCTAGTAATAGCAGGTTTTCTCCCTACCCTCAAATTCCATGAGTTTTCTTTTCTGTTTGGTTTTTGCTGTTGAAATTCAGAATATCCATTGTGAATACTCCCTTGTTTCTTCAAATTCTCGAAAATATTTTTAAGGTATGCTTTTTAATATGCTGGTCTTCTAGTCAAAAGAGTAGATGAGTATGCTTCATTGCCATACCTCCTTTCTCCAAAGTATTGATTGGTTAGGAAATTTTAACAATCAAACCACTTCCAATCCTGAGAAGACTAACAAAATAGGTAAACCTTACTTGTGGAATATTTTTCTTGTATTTATGTATTCTTTTACTGTTTAGTCACATCAAAGGGTTTTTTTGAAGCCATGTTGATTTCTGACCCCTTTTTGGGAACAAGGAGAAATCTCAGTGTGCAAGAGGTGATTTTTTTTTTAGGTCATCCTTTTTTGTTTTGTTGTGCTCTAGTAAATGTTTAGAGAATTGAGTTAGACGAAAGATTTTAAAGTTCTTTCTCTAGTAATGCATGTAGATGGTTGTAAAGGAGGAGGCACTCAAGATGTATTGATGAGTACATTCTGATCCACTCGGTATCTTTCCCTTTTTCAATAAAGTCAGCTCTGGAAAAGCAAGGTGAGGGCTGGAGGCTGTGAAGTGCTGGATGTCTTCAGGCGTAACAATTTGATGACACAAAGCATGCTGCCTAGTTGCCCTGTTCTTCAAGATTGAACCAGAGAATTCCTTCACTTGGGCATTCAATCAAAAACTTGTATTGCTAATGTCAAATAGCGATAAATTGGTTCTACTCTATGTATCTAGACTTTACTCATTTAAAAAACCAACAAATCCACAAAAAACCACAAACCTAAAAAACCCCGCAGCAGCCTTGCCCTCACAACAAAACAGACAATCTGTAGTAGAGAGCAATAGCTGATTAAAAAAGTGTTTGCATATCTGTGTCAGGAATTCTTAGGTTCAGACGTATGGGTAGGAATATGCAACTATTCTTTAGAGACCCTGTCTGAAAGGTGTGCAGGCCTATGTCTGCGTTAGCAGCAAATTTGTCATAATGTGAGAGAATCGGTAGATTGAAGCAGTTGTTGCTGAGATTTTCCTATCCGTGTCCTATGCAGTTTGGGGGAGGGGAAGGATGGTGTTACTTTAAACTAGATTTAGCTTGTCTGTAGGCTGAAACCTGCACATCCAGAACTTCAGGAGTCAATCGGTCAAACTAACGGATTATGAGAACAAAATAAAATTCAATGCACCTTTAAGGAATGAATTTGAAAACAAAGGCATTCATGCCTGTGATAAGAGATGAGGTAACTACACGTTAAGGAATAGAGACCTTCTGTGTTAGCCATTCTGTTACGTCAGGCAAAAACGGTGCCTGGCAGCATTGCCCGGGGGTTAAAAAAAACCCTACAAGTATTGAAGGCAGGAGTCATCCTCTTAGTTGGGAGTTATATCCTCTTAGAATGGCTTCTGCTGCATTATTTTTCTTCACAATGGCACTGAATGAAGCTTGATTTGATGTGTTAGCGAGTTACAGATGAATCTTTTCAACTTGTAATGAGTAACAGATGCTTTGCATCCGAAGTTATTTCATCCTGAATGTTACTCATTTGTCATTGTTGAACCACTGTCCTGACAAATTCTTGTTGCTTTTTTCATAAAAGTGAAAATGGAGAGAATGTCTTTCCTATGTAGTAATAGGAATTAAGCTGTTGTGGGTTTTTTTTTTTAATGTGTCTTCACAAGCTTCACATAAGTAACTCCAGGGCTGAAAAGAAACAGAGCACTATTGCTCTGTTACTAAATCTTTTTCCTACCAATGGAATGATAAAATGAAGCAGAGCTTTAGGGGCGCGAGGTGGGGGGGTAAATCCCGTGGGTTGTATTAGTCTTTTAAGTCTAGAATTTTTGGTACAGATAGAATTTCTGTTAAAAAGGATAATTAAGCTTGTCATCAGCTGTGTTGAAAACATGCACTTGGGTGCCGATAAGGTAACTTTTACAATGTACTTCCTGGAAAGCAATTTTAAGAGAGTGCCCGTGAATGGTATACAGACTAACATCTTTATTAAAAATGCTTCCTGATGGTTTCTGTGATAATGCTTCAACATTTATTAAATGTTCTTCCTGATATAATTGGTAATTTATATCTAATTCAGAAACACTTTTGTTACTATTATTATCATTAGATCATGAAATTGGAAATTGAAGAAATTGCAGCCCCAAGGTCATTTGTGTTTCTATGGTGTGGTTCAGGCGAGGGTCTGGATCTTGGCCGAGTGGTAAGATGATGTTTTAATTCAATTTATCAGGGACAGGCTTAAGAGTTTATTTTTATCGTTGACTTTTTCTGTATAGAATTCTCAACTGTAACTGCTGAGAGATGTTTTGTTACTGTGGTAGAGGATATATAATTTTAAGTGGATTAAATAAATTTAAGTGTGTCTGGCATTAACTGTTTCAATACTGTTATTTTCCAGATGAGTTGCTGTGACTATGTGAGGAAGCGTAATTCTGTAGGGTCTAGAAAGCTGTACTGCCGTCTTGGTTTTGATGTGCCCATGCTGCCATAGGAGCAGGTTGCCACGTTGAATGCATTTACAACTTTTTTTTTTATCAGAAGCCTTAATAGTTTTCTGCCAGACATATTCATTCTAGTAGAAAGGTGCTACTGTTTCATAAAGTGAGATAAAATTGTGTGCATAGCACTGCTTATTTTCAGAAAACACCTGCAGTTGAAGTCGGTTTGATCTTAGCTCTGCAAAGTTTTATTTCCCTATAAGATCTTGGAGTTCTGGAGTAATCTTTCTGTATGCCAGGGTAGCACTGCTTGTGTGGAGGATGGGGGAATAAGAATTTCTAATCGGCTCTTGCTGTGCTGAGACATTCTTTGCTTAGTTTGGGCAGTGCTTTCTATTAAAACAATATGGCATTTGTTAAAGGGCACCATGTGGTTACTAATCTGTTTGTTTTATCTGCTTTTCATTCTGAGGTTGGTTAAAGTAGCTATTTCGGTCAGATTGATTTTGGTCATAGACATGTTCATAGTAGCTGAACAGTTCTAACAGCCAAATTAGCTTGAGTCCTTAATGCCCAATTTCTTCCCTTTCCAAGACTACACTTAGAGGAGTTAAGGACTAAAAAGTCACGTCAATGTGTTGGGTTTTGGGGTGGGTTTTTTTGGTAGGTTTGTTTTTTGGGTGTGGTTTGGTGGTTTTTGTGGTGGTGGTGTTTTTTTTTTTTTACAGATAAAGGAAAAACCACAAAATGGTAGCAAAGGCTTTTGGCTATCTGTCTTTCCATTCATAGAATTTTACATTGATGTGAAAAACTACCAGAGTGCAGCTATTGGTGGAGACAGGACCAAGGCAGCTGATCACTATGTTGGTCAGACTGATTTTTGATTAAATTTAAGCATCACTAGGTAAAAATGAGTGCAGAGTTCCATAGCGGATCTGTGCAGTGGTTAGATATCTCTTTTTTTTTTTTTTTTTTTTTTTTTTTTGGTGTTAGGGTGCTGCAGCTTGATTTCTTTTCCAGCTATGCTTTATGAAAACTCAAGTACCTCTATGAGTGTTCAGTTTAGGTTACCTAAGGTTTTGGTGTAGTGTGAACTGTTTTATCTGTCTATAATATTTAGTGTCTACGCAAATGGGGTTACAGAAGATGTGAGGACATTTGTTGGATTAAAACGAATAAGAACAATCCTGGAAAGACCAAGACTCTAGACCCTAAGGCTGTTTTCCAGAGAACAAAGGTAAAGGTTTGGCTCAGTTTCTCCTCTGTTCCCATCCTGTCTCTTCATGCTAATGAAACACCTGATCTCCACAGCAGTTGGCGACACGCTTTCAGAAAAGCAGATGTGAGGACTTCAGATTTCTGTTCTGCGCAGTACATTGTATGGAAATAAACATATTCATAGGATGAGCGATGAACTTCTGTCCCCTTCTTGACTTGCGTCAGTGTGAGGTGCAGAAGTTTCATCTACATTTAACCCTGCTTGGTAAATTTCTGTTGCAGTCCTCTCACTGTGATACTCACTTGAGCCTTGTTGAAACGCAGGTAGCTGAGGAGGGTCTGTAGATTGATGGAACAAGAATGAGATGGTGAGAGGGAAGATGGAAACTGAATAGAAAATGTTAGTGTACACTGCAATGTTTTTGACTTCTGGGTTTCAATTATGGGCGAGTGGTGAATAAGCAGTTAGCAACACCTTTTGTGTAAAACACAAGCTCCTTTCCAGAATCGAGGAGAAAACATGCTGGCGGAGGAACACCTTTTGAGTGGAACTAAACTTAGCAGTAGAATTTGACTAAATTTAATGTCAAAAGACGACTTTAAAACTGTAGATTATAAATGGATGTAATTATAAAAAATAACTCTGGAAGACTAGCTAATGGTTCTAAGTACACACGTGCAGGTCTGTGCCCAGAGCTTGAAGCAGACAGAGGACTGTTAGGGACCGTAGCTCAGTCGGCATCTCCCGACTTCTTGAAGATGACTGCCACGCACAAGTGGCAGAATCGGTCAACTTGGTTTAAAGCCAACAGTTTCTTAGAGGTGTGTTTGCAGGGCGTGTATTGAAGAAGGTGCAGAGAAAAAAAAGTTTTCTGATTTAACAGGCGCAAATGTACGTTATTCAAAACCTTAGAAAAATCTAGATAGGATTAATAAAGAATTGGATTGGGTATATGTGGGTGTAACTGTGGCTGTTTTACTGAAAACAGAGTTGGCTGACAATTTAATAATTTAAAGTATCATTTAACCTCAGGACTCATTCCACATTCATTAATCGTTCGTTAGTATTAAACATCCTCAACTCTGTCTCAGATTTGCTGGTTTTTAGGAGTATAAACTTCCCTTTTAAGATATCTGGAATCTTTCTTTGACTTGCATTTACATTAATCTGAACTTTGTTTGAAAGTGTGGTGTGTTAGTTACAAACATTTATAAATATTGTATGTTTATTGCAAACAGTATTGCAAATCTGTGCAGCTCACTCATGAGGGAGAGGTTAAAACTAACACAGGAGGATTTGGGAGGGGACTTTATGTCTTTGTTTAACAGAGGAGAATAGTTTCTGGTATTAGAGAATTTCTTTGTTTATTGAGCAAGGGTTGGGCTGAGGTCACTATTTATAATAAACATTGAAAATTGAGCTAGTTTATTCTGACTAAATAAATAGTCAGTTGTGCAAGATGTAGTTATCAATGATCCCAACAGCAAATGCTATCCTATTGTGTTTAGTTTGGGCACCTCTCTAGGTGGACACTTTATGCTCTACCACCGGTTGTAGAATCTAAGGTAGTAACGAAGACATTCCATGTGTTACAAAAATAAAAAGTTTTGGATAGTTCTTCTAAATCCTAGATTTACGAGGCTTTGCTTGACGGGTAATTTTTATTTTTATGCCTTTTTATTTAGTTAAGTTTAAGGTCCGAAAGCCCTGTAGGTTGGGTGCAGTTGACCAGCTGCATAGGTTTGACAGGTCACCTCTTCTGCCTCTCATATGTATTCACTAACTCTTAAAATCCTTGCCAAAAATCTGGAAATGATTGCATACTCTTGTCTGCAACTTTTTTTAGAGCCATCTGGTGGCGCATAGTGGATGGTTATTTTATGATACTGGGGAAAATTGCTCATCTGAGCTTAATATTCCCAGAAACAGAACTCTGAAATGAGTATGTAGAACCCTCTTCTCATCCTGTACCAATGATGGTGATTCCTCACTCAAAGATTCTACATACTAGCCACTTAAATCGATCTGCAACGTTTTAGAGGAAAGCAATGCATATGACAGTTAAAGAAGTTTTTAATGTTGATGGAGTTGACTGAGAGTGCATTGACAGTTTGACAGTAGTTTACTTTTTTGATGCAGTGATATCTTCTAGAAAGGCATCTGAGGGTGAAGGCTACTTTTGTTACAGAGGTACGATATGAAAAAGTACATCTTATTTTCACTGACTGGCTGTTTATGACTGGGAACTTTGAAAATTAGTTGTATGACTAAAGTTAGGATCAGAATGTTGATACTAGTATTAATCATAATTAATAACGATTCCCTTACTCTAGCCATCACCTTGTACTCTCTTTCCTTGTGGGAATTTCTCATCCTTTCCAACTGAAAGCTCTAACTTTTCTGTAATTGAAGAAGTCCAAATACCTTAATTCAGCCTTTGTTTGAGTTTTACCACTTCGTAGTGTGGTTCGTCAAGCCAGGTAGCTTAAACTACTCTCTGCTTTGTTTTCAAAAGGCTCTCTTGGCAGCTCCAGCTTGTCCTGTTCTAGTTCATGCTTCAGAGTTTCTCTGTATTAGAGTGGGCTCTACTCTGCTGAGAATTTCTTCTCTCTGTTGTGCTCAAACCACGGACATCGGTGCTGTAGCAGTATGTGTGGCGTGTGACAGGTACTCTTCTGTGTTCTGGTGCGTAGGAGCACTGCCTCATGGGCATTAAAGGGACTGTGCGTCGCAGTACAGATGGTGACTTCATCCATGCTAATGTCGATATCGACCTAATCATCACAGAAGAGCCTGAAATTGGCAACATAGAAAAACCTGTAGAGATTTTTCACATCATTGAGCATTTCTGCCTTGGGCGACGACGCCTTCATCTTTTTGGAAGGGACAGTACAATTCGACCAGGTAACTGTTATGTTTATTTTTGTCAAATGGTTACATTTTAATTAACTTTAATAACCCTCTTCCATCATCTGAGGCCACTTGTTGGAAGCAGAGACAATAATGGCTAATCCTAATGCATGATTCTTCTGCCAGGACTTGCACCATCTGAGTAACTGTGTATTTCTGTGTATAACCCCATTCCCCCCACCATGGGTTTATGACACCACAGAAAGCCAGATGAGCTTTCTTGGTGACTTCTCCATAGTGGAAATGTAGTCGGGAGTGAGAAAATCTCCTGGATGGAGAAATGTCCAAGGTTTCCTACCCTCCCGTTCAGATAACTAACTGGCCTCATGTTCAGCAACAGAGAGATTGTGGCATCACTTGATCGTTCTCCCAACGCTGTGACAGTGGCAAAGTGACTTCTGCTCTATTTAACGTTCTGTCCCTCGTGATCAAAGAGCAGAAATTTTACTAGAACTGAAGATCTCGCATGCGTATTTTCTTAGCAAGAATATCTGTTTTGGGGTGAATCCTCAGCCTGTGTTGCAGGAGCATCATCTAGAACCCTACTAAGTGATATTGCAGTTAGGTTATAATTTCTATGATTATTATTATTATTATTATGTTTGGCAGCAAGACCAAGTCACAAATCTAGTTTAAGGCTGCTTACTGTTAAGTTTTGTTTTATAAATATTCACTGTTTTATAAATACTCATTTTTAGAAGTAAATACTTGCTCAAACAGTAAGACTTTTATGCTTTTGTTTTCTCCATGTTATCTCTAATTGAAGATAATGCTGAAAATATTCAGTATTCCAGTAGAATACTGAAATCTATCATTTCTATCTCTTTAGGTTCATATTCTGAATATTTCCTTTCTATTAAACTTCTATTTTTGGACTTAATAGTGAAGTAAACTCCAGACTAGCTCTAAAAATTGAAATGCCTTTATCATCTGCAAGACAGAGTAGCAGAATTCTCTGCTTGTAAAATTCATATTGGTGTCCCAAAGAGGCTTCCAGAGCTATGTCATAGGTCAGACAGTGGATCTGAAGGAGATACGTTGTTGGTTTATGTGAAGATCTGTCAGTCACAAACCAGTGCTGTTTGGAAAGTTTATGACAGCTATCAATTCTATTGATTTTTTTCAGAAGAAAGTTTTCTGTTAACCAATATTTTCACCTGTTCATGTGTTTAATTCATCAGTGAGTATAACAAAATTCAGGTGAGATTTCTTTTTTCCCCACGTGCCATGTGTTTACACTTCTCGGAAGCATGGTTTCTTTCTCTAAACTGACTATAAATCCCTGTGAGCTTAGCACTGGTCCTGTTGCCACTGTCTGAAGACCCAGTGTCTTACACTGGATGCTGCATCTGGCAGGATAAAAAATGCATGGAAATATATGGATCACATTGAAGGGAACTGCATTTTATTTGTTTCGATGGACAGACCTTTCAATTTCTCATGCATAAGTGGTGAAGGACTTTCACTGCAGGAGAATACAGTCTAGAAGAAGAAAATCTCTTTTGACACGTTTTTAGACTTTTGTCTGTTGTCAATGTGAAATACAATTCAACAGTCTTGTTCCTTTCAACTGCCAATGAATGCTTGAATTGACAGACTTTATACCTCGTGTGTTCATACCTCACGTACTGATCGATTCTGTGAGCGTTGGTCTCTGAACAATTTATGGTAAATTTGTGGCCCTTTTCAAAAATAAGTAGGGGGGCATGTGAGCGGGGCAAGTGCTGTAGCTGCACTTGCCTTAGGTTTGTTTAGCAATAACAGTTTTCCCCTAAACAGAGATTAATAGTTTGGATGAGAGAGGAGCCGTGGATAGAAGTCCATCCATGGCCTGATTTGCTGCACGTGAATGCTAATTCTTACGGTATCAAAAAAGTTGCTTATTCTTTTACTGCCGTTGGAATAGAATGTGTATCAGTATACAAGCTGCAAGCAGTAAGTTACCGAAATAAATTTCCAAGTGTTGTTTCTCTCTTGCTCATATGATTACAGAGTAGTGGTTACTGGCCATTCCTATTCTTTGACTGGCCTTTGGCTTGAATTTTAATGGTGATGTCAGTCTTAATTCTGTTGGATACTGGAGGTGTGGAGGGGGGCTGTTTTGTTTTGTCGAAAGTCATTGTTCAGGTATTCAATGCTGTTGTAGCTGAATTCTTTTATGTTAATGTGCTACAGGGTCATGTTAGTCCAATTCAACTTTTGTATTTTTAAAATTCGGTGGTTACCCTGGAATTGCATTGCATACTTTAAATCCTAAACTCATCACAGATCCTCACAGTGCTCTGAAGTATGCAAACCTAAACCTCTCTCTCTTTTTTTTTTACTTTTTAAAAAATGTGCAGGGATCAAGGTAAATGTTACGGAAATTCCCAGAGTAAAGAGAACAGTGTTAAAGAACTGATCTTGGGTTTTTTTTTAATTCTTGCTTTCCTTAAAGCATGTTGTTAAGATCACTGGACTACACTTTTCTTCTTTAATATATGATACAATTGAAAATTAAATTCCCACGGATATTTTTAAGCAGCCTTAGTGCCATTTTAAGAGCCCCATTTTAGGTCCAAATGCTATTTTAGCTCCTCATATGAAGATACAGGAACGTGCTTGTTTTAAATGTCTGCCTGCCTTGATTCTCTTGGCGAAGCCAAAGTGCCCACTGACTGTGCATAAAGAGGTTAATTTAACTCTTTAAGGTTTATTTTAAGGTCTGTTTGCACATCATCTGGGCTTCAACAGAATTGTTACTTTTTTGTGTTTTCACGTATGTGCTTCCAGCATGCTGTGCTGCACTGTCACAACTGGTTTCGGGAGACAAAACTACCTAATTCAAGTATAAATGCCTTTTAAAAAGGGGAGAAGGAGGATGACATCGTTTTTAAACGAGATGACTTTACTGACCTGGTTTAGTCTGGTCGCAGAGGGGCTGGAGAACATTGTTGTGGTGTAAGAACAAGTAGGAAGGAGGGGGAAGGGGTCTTGTGAAACCACAACATGAATGTTTCCATAGCTATATGTAATTAAAAAAAAAAAAAGAACAGAAGCCCTTAGAAATATCAAACTAAAATCTGAACTTCTCAACACCTCTGGCTTTCCTAGAGGTAACCTTTCCATTCCAGTCGATACAGGTGACGTGTAGATTAGTGTCTGTCCCTGTCACTTGAGCGTTCATTTACTAGGAAAAGGACAGTACTGGCCTTGAAGCATGAAATTGTTCTTGCTTTTGCTGACGCTGGTTTTGTTCCCTAGGTTGGCTGACTGTAGGACCCACCCTCACAAACAGCAATTTCAACGCAGAAACGTATTCTTCGTACTTCACAGCTCCAAATTCTCACCTGACCGGCTGTACTGAAGAGATTGAGAGACTTCGGCCCAAGTCACCACCACCTAAGTCCAAGTCTGACCGGGGAGGTGGTGCGCCGAGGGGAGGAGGAAGAGGAGGGACCTCAGCAGGCCGAGGAGAAAGGGGCAGAGAGAGGAACAGAACTAACTTTCGGGGTGAGAGAGGTGGCTTCAGAGGGGGACGTGGAGGTACCCATAGAGGAGGCTTCCCCGCCCGCTGATGACTGTTGTTAGGTAATTGCTTCTTCCCCCGGCCCTACGCCTCATCTCCGAATCTTTTTCTTAGTCTTGTTTTTGCTAAAGTGAGTTATTCTGGGGACTCAAGCTGTAGGTGACTTTTAAAATTGGTTTTGGTGCAAGCAGTTACAGATAGTCTGCCTTCCAGTGATCGGCTCGGCACATCACCTCACCGGGCAGGCAGGGCCCTGCACCTCACAGCACTGAACTCGGCCTCCTGACAGCTTCTGTCTGTCAAAGCAGAGAGCACCATCTCCTCAGACCACGGTAGGAATGAAGATCCTTGCTCTTCCCTTCTGAAACTTGCAAGTTGTGGGCTTTAACTGTCGTTTTCTCCAAAACATGGATTCCTCTTCCTTCTTTGGAGGTTCAGGTCTGGACTGACTTGGATTAATACAATGGAGTGGGCATGAAATGCAGTTCTGAATTGCATGACCATAGCAGACGTACTCATGGAAGAAAAAGTGCTGTATCTGTATCGACACCTATTTTAACTCCTCTGAAGCCGAGGAGCAGATTGAATAAATAGATTTCTATTTTTTCTTCTTTGGTTTAAATTTCCCAGATTATTCCTGGGAATAGGGAACAAGTTCACCTGTCACTTGTGGTGTATATGCACTCGCTTTTCATGTCTGTAGTGGGGAGAGTGACAATTCTGTGCAGCTGTGTGTTGTGCTTCATGGAAAGCAGGAAGTTGTGCATTTATGAGCAGCCCAGAACTTCTGTGTAGGTCTGGATTGGTTCTTGAGTAGGGATTTCCACCCAGCATCTGTTCATAGTAGCCTTGTTCTTTGGTAGGGAACGCCAGTTTGATTGCAGAGCATTGCCGTGTAGGTAGCAGAAAGACCTGATTGGCGGTCGTGTTGGAAATGTGGGGCGATGTTGTAAGAGTGAGCGCCTCCTGGAAGTAATCACCTGGGTAATGAGGGTGCAGTCATCGCACTGAGTGTTTGGCTTTGCCTGTGGATGTTGCCCACGTTCTTGTTGGAAATAAGATGGTCGGTGATCAGCTCCGGAGTACCGTGTGAAAAGAAAGCGGTTCACTTTGGTATGTACCATATTTGGTTTTAGCAAAACCACAACTCTGAACTTCGTGGTCAGTGCTTGGTAGGCTGAACAAACCTGACTGTTCAAGTCCCAAAATGTTAGGTGTTGCAAAATTGGCTTTTAAGTCTTATAATGTTTCTCTGTTGAAGCCTAGCTTTTAAACAACTGTCCTGTAAAGTAGTGGATTATTAAACTTGTTTATCAAAGCTAATGTTGAAATATTTTTCTTAATATTTTGTGGATTTGTTCTCCTTGAAGCTTTGGAATTGCTGAGTTGTACTGTGGTTTCTTCCCTACTGCTGTAAAAGAGCGGGCAGTACATTTTCTTTTGGTGCAGGAAGCCTCAGCACAGAAATTGTTAGGGTCTGCTCAACTCCACGGCCTTGGTAGTGTGCTTAGCGAGGGACTGATGGCCGCAGTGCACGGGGAACTCGGCTGTTGGTTACGGTTGGTTTCGTCCTGCGTTTCATTGGCACATCTGAAGAGTGGCTGGGTATTTGGAGGGCAGCGCTCCTTTGACTGTGGGTGAAGTCTGCCAAAGATGACTTGGGGCAGCATCTGCTAGAAGTTATATGCCACAGTAAGAAAAATTTAACCTGATTTTGCCCTAGTCATGTTCCCACCCAAAAAGTAAATACTGGAGACACTTAACCTTAGGAAGGTTGCTTTTGTGCCAAATCTTTCTTTTTTTCTCCATTAGTGGCAAAATGTCAGTTCGCATTTCCCCTTTTTAATTACATGTCCATAGCTGATAGTTCAGTGCGTAGGCTACTCTTAACATAGAAGATGAGGCTACACTGAAGAGGGGACTTGAAAATAAGTGGTTGAGATGTGCGTCTGTATCAGTTTGCCGAAGCTGGGGTGCTGCTCAAGACTTCAGTGACTTGGAAAATTAATTGCATGTGATCTTTTTTAAAAAAAAAATATTAATTTTACCAAATAAATCCCTTTTGAGCATGCAGAGTTAGGTTTCTCTTTTTCTTTTTTTTTTTTCCCCTCAAAGCTGAAATAGCTGAAGTAGTGTAAGGAAAAAAGAAAACTGCTCCAGAGAGCATTAGATGAGATCTATGTGGATGGGCCACTTTCACCAGGGAAGCGTAGTACACATTGTCATCAAGCAACTGACTGTACTTTTTTAATTGAGGTTAGGGGACAAGGAAGTAGAACTTCCTAGATGTCCTCTGTGAAGAGACCTGCCGGTCGTCGTCGGAAGGTGGTGTTTCACCAGAGACAGACTGCCTGCGAAGGTAAGACAGCAGCGCGTGGGGGTGTGTACCCAAAGGCTTGGCGTCACGTCCTTGTGGTGGTGGAGATGGTCCTTAGACGCTGTTCTCCCCCTACCCCCCAGTTGTACAGTGAAAACATCTGGTCCTTTTTTTAAATCACTGTTGATTCAGGCCGTATCTGAAGTGGTGGCTAGAGATGAAAAGCTTTTAATTTCATTACTGGTTGTCAATTGATTTCTCAGTTGTAACACTTTAACAGGAGGAGGAAGATAATGCTCGTAATCAGTGAACTGATGAATGTTTCATTTACCACAAGTAAATGAAGACTTAAATTGAGCATGCTATCCCAGAAGATAAAAAGCCTAACAAGTTTCTTCCTTTCTGATTTTATTAAATGTGTGATGTCACCAGTCTGATTTGGGATGCCTGTCTGGATCTTGTCATGTCTTTCCATTCTGGAAGAGGCTTACAGGACTGTGAATATCCTACACCCTGTAGGAATTAAGTGAAGGATTCGACAATTGCACTGACAACATACTTGGGAAGTCTTAGCATTGAGCTTCAAAGGGATTTTAAGACATCAGACAGCTGTAAATCATTGTGTGCAAACGCAGCCATCAGCGTGAGAACTCTTCCCAGTTTGCGACACACCACTGGTTTATTATAAGAAGTTGGCTGAAGTGCTGGATGTGCTGTGCAGGTTGGTGGGCAACGCTCCGGGGGTTTTTGAGGTTCTTCCCCAGTGCAGTGTCATGAACACGGGCTGATTGCGTATGTTCGTAGGTACCGAATGCTTTGCTTGGTGGAGTAGAACTTAGGCTGCGAACTAAAGAACAATTTTGATCTGACAAGGGAAGTTACATGGCATTAAGTCAAGGGATTAATTTTGGAATCCTTGGCAGGGGATAGAATTGATCCAGAATGCACTCTAGAAAAGAATAAATGAACATCTAAAACAGCTGTAAGTCTTGTTTCTTGAACGTGGCTTTTTAAGGATACATGCAGTAACTAAAGGTGATAGGTAATGAGCCCCACTGTTTCTGTATATAACGGAAAAAAAAAATTTCTCCTTCCAAAATTGGTAAAGTTGGTCGCAACTTTGTGCTGTAGTAGAAATAGCCCAGTGTAATGGGGCGAAGGTTGACTTAATAACATGGAGGAAAGTTTACTAATGTGGTGATTCTCGTGGGGGAAAAAGCAAGCAGTAGGTAAGTTCTGTGGTGAAACATGAAGTAATTTTGAGTGTAATTATTGCAGCTGTTGAAAAGAAAAAAAAATGGCCTAACTACTGTAAATCTTGAATTGAATATTACAGTCCTGTTTATGCTGGAGACAAGAATTGTAATAGCTGTGGGATAACTTTTATGATTGCTGCAAGAGCTTCTGTATCAACGTGTGTCCATCTCGGGGCTAGCTTAGCCATTATGATGTCTTAATGTAGGTAAAATTGTGTCTGACTTCTTAGCTAGCAAGTATAAATAGCTTCGTCTTACTACAGCCTCATTCTGAATAGCACCTCTGTGCCTGAAATCCTGGCTGTCTGTAGGCTCTGCCAGCGCGCAGGTAAGTGACGTGTACCCTTTGCACCAGAATTCAGGTGTAAAACAGGCTGTCCTGTTTTACAGTCGGGCAGTGGGGCCTGTGTGGCCTGGCCTGACTAAGTAGATGATGTGCGTGGTTGTGGTGCGGATGTGGGCTTCTGGCTGTCGGCAGAGTCCCCGGAATAAGGTAAGGAAATGGCTTCTGAGGCAGGCGCTGCCTGGGGGAGCAGCTGGCCAGCTCCCTACCTCAGGGGGAACCACTGCAGGTGACATGAACGTTGTTCAGCAGCTGAGCACAAACATTTCCCTAATTACACTGTCTTATGGAATGGCTGCATCTTCCCTCTTCCTGACTCACTTGGTAAGTCATTTTTTCCTACAACAGTACACTGGCCAGGCTGTTTTGACACAGTCAGACCTACTTTGACTGAGTCTTCCTTCCGTAACTGAGGGTGATGCCAACAGCAGAAACGGACTCAGAACTCTGTAATGCCAGATAAGCTTGCTGCTCTTTAAAGTCAGAGTGACCTACAGCAGTCTGACACTAATTGTGTCAGATGCACGGCATTGCTTATGCTGTGCAGGAATTACTGTTGCTAATTTAACTTTGCCGTGTTCCCTGGCTCCTGAAGTCGGTGTAACCAACTTGTGTTGTCTTGCTGTGCTTACAGGGAAAGGCATCAACCCTCAAGCCAGTTTCCAGCACCCGCTTGTTAGTGACCGGGGCTACTCGTTTTAGGTGCTACTGTTCAAGAGGTGTTGGATGGCTTTTGGCAGAGGCTGATAGTGTAAAAAACTGAGAATTTAGTGTATGAAAGAATAAACAAACACACTCATGATGATTATATTTAATAATTGCTGATTTCTTTACACATAGAGTTGCTGGTGTCATTTTGCAAAGTACACTGATTTGGAATGGCTACACCTACTTTTTACAGGGTCATGTCTTCTGCTAAAAGTGCTTGTCTTGGCAGCTGAATTCAGTCCGAGGATCCTTTTGTAATATAGCCGCTTATTTTAAGAGTTCTCAGGCAATGCGCAAGGACACACTGTTTTGATTACTGTCAAACCAAAAAACACGCATCTTGACTGCTTATCTTGAATATTAAAATGATTAACACTAAGTAGCAACCCTAACATGTTTAAAGGCACTTTTTTTTGGAGGCCCAAGTCATCCTTACTTATGAGGGGTTTTGCTTTCTTTGAAACACTGATTTTTGTAACAATAGCTTCTCAAGTTTGGAAGAGTTCAAACCTCATGTGCAGAGGCATTGGTCCTAAAGAGATGAACAGACTGATGAAGTGTATCTGAGGTAAACAGCTCTTCCAAAGACTCTGGCTTTCTAAATTCTACTTTAAACATTG